GGTGATTAAATAATCTATATTCAAATACCAGTATCCTCTCCAACTACCAGAAAAACAATTCAACTACTTGAGGTCTAAACAGATTAACAGAATCATATATAGCCTATACTGTAGTATCAAAAATATTTTAAGTATTGCGACCATTGCAACTGTCGGCTACTCTTTAACCACTTGAAAACACCCATAATCAACAAGCGCAGATAGCTCAGGAGGTAAGGTAAGAGGCTCACAAGGCGAAGGTACCAGGTTCGAAAACCGTCTGGGCCAAAAACTTTTTTCTCGTTTTTTTCTTCAAAATTTGTGTTTATTAACTATTTAATCAATTTACTAAACTTATAATTAAGCTTTTCATACTAAATCTATATTATTTTGTGTTTTTTATGTTCAGGCCAAGACCACACTTTATCCCAGGGACATCCCATAGTAGTCCCATATGTCCTGAGAATGTCCTGAGGACTACCCTGGGATGACCTCGGATGTCTCACGGATATGCGTGTGAGCTTATCCGTAGGACATTCCCGGGCGGGGACATTAGGCATTCCTGTGGATATCCTGTGATATCCCAAGTTGACCATAGGACCACTATGGGATATCTTGCATATCCTGTCGCAATATCCGTGGGATGTCCTGAGGAGAAAGTGTGCTGTCTGGGTATGAGTAGATTTTCCCTGTGATGCACACGAGCTGAGAAAAAAGGTTTTAAAGAAACATGCTAGCCTATTAATATATAGACTAGTGGCCTGTAAGGGACATAAGGGTGCTTTCCTGTTAAAGGGAACATTTATTATTATCGATGATTTTGTTTCGATATATTGATATTAACAAATTGAAACATATCAGCTGACAACTACGATAAATATTGTTCAGTATATGAAACTGTTCTAAATAAATAACCAAACATAACTAACCAAACTTGCTGTAACATTTAAAAATTCCGTGTTTAAATTGCCTTTTCTATTATCAAACCCAAACGGAAGTTTTAAATGGTACAGCAAGTTTGGTTGGTTATGTTAGGTTAGCTTAGAACAGTTTCATTTCTTAATCCATATAGACTATTTTAGCCTAAACAAGATCAGTTAATTGTTGTTGTCAATTTGTAATAGATCTGATCGGAAACAAAAATATCGATATATCGAAAAAATCTTCGATAATAATGAATGTTCCCTTTAACAGGAAAGTACCGACATAAGTCCCTAAAAAGCTTAAATGTAAAACAAATTGTTGTAATCATACTAATATTATAAATGTGAAAGTTTGTGTGTTTGTTTGAAGTTCAATCACGCATTAACTACTGGTCGGATTGTGTTGAAATTTGGTATGATAATAGCTCACATTCCCGATTAACATATAGACATATTCTTACCTCAAAAATCCTTTCGGGCTCTGCCCCAGCGGCTCTGGAGTTTTCCATGTTAACCTTATGAGTATTCATATTTAAAAGGAATTAAATAATTTTGCCAGCTGTTTCAACTACACAATTTGTTTCTATGATATTCAATAGCATTAAAAGGTTATACGGTTTACCAACAGGGTGCAGCACCATTAGTTCTTTTTACATTTATGACAACAGCTAATTTGAACCAAGCAGCAACAAAAACCTGAGTGTGAGAACTTTACTTATTTCTATTGTTTAGGTGAAGTGGTAGAACATTATGGGCTATGGCTATGGTAGATGTTCTATTTACTATAGTATACCGTAGGTTATAGTAGGAAGCCGAATTTTCTCAAAACGTGTCCTCTCTCATTGCAAATGAAAAGCACGAGTATTTAACTACAATAAGCATTGTAGTTAATAAGCATACCAGCCCCGTACGAAGGACGGGTACTCAGCTAGTATATAAATAAACTCAGAATCAAATTATCTATGTTTCTGGATAGATACCAGTACAACATATCTTTTGTGTAAAAAAAAAAAAAAAAAAAAACAGTTTGTTGTTTGTCTTTGTTTGCTCTTTTGTTGACATTATTTTCAACCACTAAATTAACACCCCGACCCAGTTATTATTTCTAAGTTTATGCTCCTTTTGTAAAGGTTTAACAAAATTAGTATAAAGAAGGCATCCCATTGACCAAACTTAACCCTAAATTTGTTTCTGATCAACATTTAAAAAACTACTAAATAAATAAGCCTAGTGTAAGTTTATGTTGTGGTATTCCTCCAATGAGGTTGACTTTACACATTCTTTCAAAAAAGTGCCTAATCAATGCCTGATTACTAACTATTTTGCGACCAGTTAGGGCTCCATTACCCAGCTATCGAAGCCAATCACGAAATTAATTTTCATCAGCATCTTTGACATGCATATTTTTGGTAAGTTTTAAGAAACGGAAACTACCTCTAGGTTTTACTGTAGATACGGATGCTCCCTTTACTACCGCTAGGCTTAGGCTATATTATTTGAACATTTTTTGCTTGAAGCAAAAGAAAAGCTTAAAATCTTCTCCAAACAAAATTATTTTTCCGCTCACTGGAACTCGTCATAGTATTTACTTAATGAACAAATACCTGTACGAACCTATTTCATCTTTATTCAAAAATTGTCCTCTTATAGATTAAAACCCTACAATAAATCTCAAATATAAATGTTAGTAAATTTACAAAAAAGGTGTAGAATAAATCTTTAACATGTGTTTTGAAATCAAAAGAAAGTAGAAGTTTTCTTTTTAATCTTGAATAATTTATTATTTAGTCAATGTGGTTATTTCATGTTAAACATTCCTTCAACACAACAATAACCTTAAAATTAGAAGAAAACTTCATTATTATTCGGCCATTCTAAGTTCAATTACTTTGATTTGAGCCATCTCCTATTATTCTACTACTTATCATACGCTTAACTAATTTACTTAAAAATACACAAGTCTGCAAATTGCACAGTAAAACGATTGATTTCAACTTTCTAAGACGTAACTAAAAAATTCTTAATTATTATAGGTAACATTAACCCTGGTTTTATATAGTATACAGCACACTTCAGAATTGACTGGCAAATAAGTAATCCAAATGTAATACTGCTTACTGGTTTGATGATAAATCACGATCAGCTGTATTGAAGTAAACAAAAAATCAGCAGTAAATGGCTTCTAATGCTATTCTTATGGAGGACTTTTTACGTTATATCTAGCTTTGTGTTAAAATTGAGGGAATTTCACTATTTTTCCCGCCATCACGGGATTGAGACCTTTAATTTGAGCCCTCTCCCGTCTTTCTACGACTTCCCAGTCACCCACAATTTTGACGCAAAGAATCGGCTTACGTAATTAATATATAGACTAGTGGCTTGAAGGGATATAAGTCCCTGAAAAGCTCAAATGTAAAACAAACTATTGTAATACAGTATAAACAAACTTAAATTAATCTAATACATATATCAGATATATATCCCAGTACAACATATCTTTTGTGTAAAAAATAGTTTGTTGTTTGTCTTTGTTTGCTTTTGTTGATGTTATTTTTAATAAATAATTTAAATTACTCCAAAGGTTTAACTCTGCTAAAGGCAGCAAACATGTTTGTGAATAAATATTAGTTTACTAAGGTAGCTTTGGTCTTTTGATAATAAAAAGGCTTTCCTGATTAAAATATTGGAAATTGTCTTCGTCATATATGAAAAGGCAAATTAAGGTGTGTTGAGATAAGCTTAGTTCTTAGTTAAAACCGCTAAATTAGCACCCCAACCCAGTCATTATTTCTAAGTGCATGCTCCTTTTGTAAACACTACAATAAATCTCAAATTAAAAATGTTAGTAAGTATACAAAAAAGTGTAGAATAAATCTTTAACAAATGTTTTGAAATCAAAACAAAGCAGAAGTTTTCAACAATCTTGAATCGATTATTATTTAGTCAATGTAGTTATTTCATGTTGAACATTCCTTCAACACAACAATAACCGTTAAGTTAGAAGAAAAAAACTTCATAATTTTTTTCAGCCATTCTAAGTTTAATATCTTTTCTTACCAATTTTACAAAAAAGCTTACAATTCCTTTGATTTGAGCCATCTTCTATGGTTCTACTACTTATCATACGCTTAACTAATTTACTTAAAAATAAACAAGTTTGCCAATTGCACGGTAAAATAATTTATTTCAACATTCTAAGACGTAACTAAAAAATATTTATTATTATAGGTAGGCCTAAAGTTATCCCTGGTTTTATATACAGTAGTATACAGTACATTGCAGAATTGACTGGCAAATGAGTAATCCAAATGTAATATTGCTTATTACTGGTTTGATGATTAATCACGATCAGCTGTATTGAAGCAAACAAAAATCAGCAGTAAATGGCTTCTAATGCATTTCTTATGGAGAACATTTTACGTTATATCCAATTTTGTGTTAAAATTTAGGGAATTTAACTATTTTCCCGCCGTCACAGGATCGAGACCTTTAATGCCCTCTCCCGTCGTTCTACGACTTCCCAGTCGCCCACAATTTTGACGCAAAGAATTGGCTTACGTAATTAATATATAGATAGATAGATATTTTGATCAAACATGGCGATTTTTTTATTTTATACTAGGCCTAAGCTATTAATATTTTACTAAAAAACAATTTATTTCCCTCCCTGTAGCAGCATACCTAGGCACTTGTTAACCTAATTTTGATGAAAATTCAATCAGACAAATGAAAATTGGAAACGGCAAAGAAAATTGGAAATGGCAAACCAGGTTTGCTGTGGCGGGAGTATTTTATTATGAAGCTATTAACCCGTGGTCTCAGGTGAGCTAGCTGTTCAAGCAATAAACAAACACAATCTTTGAAAGGTAAAAGGGTCTTGCATTATTTGTTTAGCTATATAATTATATTTTAAACCCTATTAAAATGTGAATTTGCGCTCAGGTCCCCTCGTAATTTAATTACACTTATTACAATTATTAATTCACTTATTCTGTTAATAATTGTGTCTTCCTTCAATATCAATAAACTGGAACATTCCTGAACTTACTATTGCCTGATTCAGTGAGACATTCCTGAATGCACTGTTGTCTATTTCAGTGAAAGGCTAAAGTTGAATGGAGAGCAAGTGGATTTGCTGCCGCATGTGTTACTGAGGAAGTACATTGCATATGCCCGCAAGTATGTGTCCAATGTGAGACTGAGTGGGGACGCAGCTCGGGTTCTTCAGCACTTCTATCTGGAGCTGAGGAAGCAACATCAGACCCTAGACTCTACACCAGTCACGACACGTCAGCTGGAGTCTCTCATAAGGCTTACACAGGTAAGCGTTGATAAACAATAGCAGAATGTAGTAGACTCTCATTTATGTGGAAGTAAATGTGATAGAGGTCTGTTTCTGGATATACTAGGTGCAAGCTTATATCTAATTTTTATTGTAAACAAAGCACTTTTGTGTTTTAAACATTGATAGACTGCATATAGTTTTCTAGCACAGTTCAAAACATTGAGGTGGTGATACAAATATTTTCTTTTACGTTTGTTGTCTGAGTGAGTGGTATTTATATTATATATTTTATTTTTGAGTGGTATATATTTTATTGAGCAGAACCACTCACTTTTGTTTATTTCAATACAGGGTTGAGCGTTAGTAATGATTAAATAGACTAACCAACTCTCTAATTATAAATAGATGTACCGTAGCGAATAAATCAATCTGGTTAAAAGGAGACTATTAACACATATTAAGTTATTTGTTAATTGTTGAGCTGGTTTTAGTGACGAATCTGTGACCTCGATTAGTTTTGTCCTTGTTAGGCTAGGATTATACTAGGACGCTGGCGTCCGAGAGGCCAGCGTCCGGGACGCTAGCGGTGCATTAAATCAAATGGGGGTGATTATACTATGGATGCTAGAGTCGGATGCTAAAAAAAAGCCACCGAAAGCTCGAAGTTATTACCGTAGGTGGCATGGTAAAACCTAGGCCTGGGACCGATTTACTTTTTCATTTTGATGTCCCCAGAGGCCAAAAACACCATCCGTTCGTATAGATTTAAATATTATATATATATGTCTGTAAACGCAATAACTGGAGTAACTTTTGTTCTATTTTGAAGAAATTTGGTTTTAAGGCGAAGGGTGGGATAAATTTGAACGAGTTCGCGAACCAGCATGAACATACCTTGGGAACGGGGTTTTATGTGCTAAAAAAGGGAGTTTGTCATTTTTTACCCATAAAACTAAAAAATTCACAATTTCTCTCTAGAAAATTTTAATGAGCTTAAAAACAAATAATTTAGTACCTATATTTAAGTGTTTTTGTACTGTTATTAGTTATGGAGAAAATTAAAAAAAGAGTATATTAAAAATTGCCATGTTATTCTTATAGAAAATGTTGTTAAGTGTTGGAATTTGCTTGTGTATGGATATATTTCGATTAAACTTGGCCAATTTGTTTTATACTAAGCTAATAATACAGTATTTTACTAAAAACACACTTTATTAGCCCCCTTAAAGCATAAAACCTTGGTACTCGTTAAACCAAATTTTATTTAATGTTACAAAAAGTGACTAAACGTTGAAATAAAATGGCAGTCCGAGAGGCTAGCATCCCAACACAAATCACGTCATTTTTCGGCTCGAGGTGGGACGCTCTCAGATGCCAGCATCCCGGACGCCAGCGTCCTAGTATAATCCTAGCCTTATGGAATAATCTTACTATAAATAGTCAGTCTTCCTCCAGACTTGAATATTATGCTTGGCATTTCTTGAGATCATCTGACAGACATAATTTATGTTAATATCTTTTAGAGCAAATAATAGATCAAATCCTGTAGAGTCCAATCTCCCTCAAATTTCTGTCATGATTAGAACCGCCTTTTCTGGAAATGTACACTCTTTAAGGAAAATCTTCACTTCCGGATAAAAATTGTTTGTGCACTGATCAATTCAGATGTATTTTCGCCAATTTATGCTGACTTCTAGGCACAGTAAACCACAACCACAGTAAGAGACAAATCATTGATGTTTTTAAATCCTCTTAGTTCCTTAGATTTTCCAATTACTATAAGTGGGAGTTTAGGATCTCTAAATTCATTTGAACCCAGTGCAACAAATATACATTCCTTCTTTAAAACCTGGGGATGAGCTTTAACACTAACAGTGAAAGTTTGGAAGTTATTTTTCCCAACGGTTGAAATTGAGTCCACTTTTGTTGATGTTGTAACATTGATAAGTGTCTCTTCTTGGATTATCTAGTTTAGTCACAAATTCACTCAAAGAAGCACCCGATGAAATTTTTTGCTACAAACATCAAAACAAGCACTGTGACTTGTTTTTGTACAGGCCAGAGCTAAAGCAGAGCTGAGAGAGGAGGCCACAGAACAAGATGCTGTGGATGTTGTAGAGTTGATGCGCTGGAGCATGGTGGACACCTTCATTGATGAGTTTGGTGCTTTAGACTTCCACCGATCTATCCATGGCTCAGGCTCCAGCTCAAAAAATCAGGTCAGTTCAATTACTCATCTTGAGCTGAATTTTGGAAATTTTGCCTTGGAAAATATTCTACAAGGTTTTAATCTGAAAATGTTAAGAAAATGTGATTGCCAAACCATTATCGTATGTAATACATTTAAAAATAATTTATTTATTGTAAAGTAAAGCAAATGAAATTATGATAGCTAAGCTAATTTAACCATCCATAAATCCAAACTAATTAGGGTTTGAAGTCATCCGGATTATAACATTCAGAATTAAAAAATACATTGTTAATCCTGGACCACATACGTGCTCTTTGTCTATAATGAAACACACGCCACAGAACAAGGTTTAAGTTTGTTCTAAATTTATATAACAAATTGTGGTGGTGTGAAAAATGTATCTCACCATAAACCATGAGCCAATTAATATTTTGGTACCACCTGGGGTGGCAAATGCAAACTATGTTTTTCTTCTATAGTTTTATGTGTAGATCAAGAATATATGTGATAGCAATGCATAAGTTCTACCAAAATTGACCTTTGTCTCATATATTTGTAAGAAGGTACCAGTCAATGTGGCACGTGCTATCAATGTTTTTCTTGTACATGTTTCTTTATGTAAAAAAAGTAGGTTTTTATATAACAAAATTGATTTTTTTTTCCAAAAAAATTGACCTTTGTCTCATATACTTGTAAGAAGGTACCAGTCAAGGTGGCACGTGCTCTCGATGTTTTTCTTGTATAGTTTTATGTGTAGATTAAGAATATATGTGATAGCAATGGATAAGTAGTAGCTTTATGAAAAATATATGTTTAAAAAAAAATGAATTTTCCTCAGAAATTTGTAAAAAGGTACCATTCAAGGAGGCACGTGCTATCAATGTTTTTTTATTGAGTTTTGTATGTAGATCATAAATTAACAATATAGCATTATCTATGTATAGTAGCTTTTTCCAAAAAAATAATTTTAAATTTGAAAATATCATTAGGTATGTGAATTTGGTGCTAGACTGGATGTGCTCATTTGAGACGCACTTGATGTTTTGAAGCATGGAGCCGGAACGCATTCCAGTCCATATAGAGCCTAAACAGTAAGACATACGGAAAAAAGTAAATATACTTTGTTTTAGATATTGGACAAAAGAAAAACATTTATTTGAAACATTTTTTCATTGGAGCGCTTTTTATAAATCTACATTAGAAAAACGTGTCGTTCAAACAAAAAGTTTGATATATTCAAATTAAAAATTATTTTTTTACAAAAAAGCTACTACATAGATAATGCTATAATGTAAATTTATGATCTACATACAAAACTCAATAAAACCCTTTTTACAAAATTGATGAGGAAAAATTCAATTCTTTTTTTATAAAACCTATTTTTTCCATAAAGTTACTACATATGCATTGCTATCACATATATTCTTGATCTCCACATGAAACTATACAAGAAAAACATTGATAGCACATGCCACATTGACTGGTACCTTCTTACAAAAATATGAGACAAAATTCAATAGTAAAAAAAAATCTATTTTGTTATATAAAAACCTACTTTTTTTATATAAAGCTACTACTTATGCATTACTATCACATATTCTTGATCTACACTAAAACAATACAAGAAAAACATTGATAGCACGTGCCTCCACCTTGACTGGGACCTTTTTACAAATTTATCAGAAAATTTCAATTTTTTGGACACAAATTCTTTTTTAAAATATAAAAACCAATTTTTTACATAAAGCTACTACTTATGCATTGCTATCACATATATTCTTAATCTACACATAAAACTATACAAGAAAAAAAACATTGATAGCACGGGTGAGGTTCATTTGTCCGAGTTTTCAACTGTCCAAGTTTGTTAAAAATTACAAAATATTAGAAAAATCAGTTGTCCGAGTTTTGATAAATAATTAATTAATAATATTTAGTAAAATCAACTGTCCGAGTTTTCATTTGTCGGAGTTTATTAAATTATTTGAAAAAATATCAAAATATCAAGTGTCCGAGTTTTCAACTGTCCGAGTAGAGTCTACATCAAAAATGTGACACCGTGCGCCTAGACTGGCGTCTCAGGCGCCTGGTCAGAAGCCGATGTAAACCTCTTCTGCGAAGAAATCCGGCATTGTGCTAGAGGCCCTCACGTCGCCTTAAGAAAAATTATAAAAATTTGTTTATCATAGGACTAATTTTATAATTTTTAATTATAAAATTGAACTGTCATCACCTAACACAACTAACCAAACTTACTGATAATATAAAAAAGATATAAAAGATAACAAATCGAATAAAAATTTATTTATAACTAGCTGTTACCCACGGGCTTCACACCAATTGACTTCATGCGTATTAATAAAATTATTGATTGGTTATAAGCTGAAATAAACAAAATAGAATACAGTAATACAAACAAAAAAGTTTAGCTGAGGTATTTTTAACATTAGGTATATGGAAAGTTCCCTTTAGAAAGAAATTACGACCTTAAAGGGCGCAAGGTTTCTCGTCATGACGAACATTTTAAGTGGTTTATGGGGGTGTGACTTGTAGTTTTCTCAAAAGTGCATGGGTACTTTGGGCTTTATATATAGGTTTTTAATTATAAAATTAATTTGTAAATGTTTAATTTATAAAATTAAATTGTCTTAACCTAACCTAACCAACCAAACTTGTTGATGATATAAAAAAAGATATAATATAATTTTTCTTAAGTTGACATGAGGATCTCTCGCACAATGCCCGACTTCTTCGCAGAAGAGGTTTACATTGGCTTCTGACCAGGCGCCTGAGACAACAGTCTAGGAGCGCAGTGTCACATTTTTGATGTTGACTCTACTCGGACAGTTGAAAACTAGGACACTTGATAATTCAACATTTTTTTTTTATAATTTAATAAACTCGGACAAATGAAAACTTGGACAGTTGATTTATCTAAATATTATTAGTTATTTATCAAAACTCGGACAACTGATTTTTCAAATATTTTGTAATTTTTAACAAACTCGGACAGTTGAAAATTCGGACAAATGATGTGATCCCGATAGCACGTGCCACCTTGACTGGTAACTTTTTACAAATATATGAGACAAAATTCAATAAAAAAAATACATTTTTGTTACATAAAAACCTACTTTTATACATAAAGCTACTACTTATGCATTGCTATCACATAATATATTCTTGGTCTACACATAAAACTATACAAGAAAAACATAGTCTGCATTTGTCACCCCAGGTGGTACCAATTAAGGTCATTTTTAGGTTTGGCTCATGGACTTAATAGCTGACAGTCCATATGGCAGATCTAAAGAAGAGCATATACGCTTAAACTCTTCCTGCCCACACTGTTGAATTTACACGAACAATGGCAATCACACGCTACTCATGAATGAATCCTTATTCCAACAGTATAAAAACATATACGCCCGCCAATTATTATTGTCAAGCATGGTAGGGGTAGAAGGAAGATGAAGGGGAGAGGGGAAGCATGGCCTGTAAACATAATCTGTCAACACACTTATTATGAAATCACTGATAAGTCAAATAAGTGATTACTGTAGACTCTGTACTGATTGCATAAAACGCTTGTTTACAGTTATTATTTTTCAAAAATTTTTACGGAGGGGAACCCACGAACCCTGGGGAGTTTACCATACCCCCTACACCCCCGGTACTGGGGGCGGCTTTAGCCATCCCTGCTCCAGGGCGCTCCAAACCTGGCTACACCACTGTTTGAAATACAATATTTAAATATTAACAGCTGTGTAAGGGGTCAAAATTATAGAGGGGTTAAGATTTTATATTTATTATTTAATTATCAGTAGGCCTATACCTTACCTGGTTGGTGATAGTGGTAAACCTATCATGGTAAGGTAAATAGGCTGTCTTAGGCCTATCCTAGGGTTGAAGTAGGGATAACCTCACTTTTGGCAAAATCACTAAAGACACTGTTTTAGAACTATACAAGTCACGGAATAGCATTGTTATGTACAAAACAGGTGATAAACTGTTTTTATTTAACCCGTGCCTATTAAAAACCTTGGGAAGTATAGTCAAAGTTGTTGTTTAGGCTAGGGTGGTAAACTGCAATCACGAATACAATATCACGTACATAACATGCATACACTTTGTCGGACACTAAGTTACACATCACGGGTGGAAATTATACATTTTTGTTTAAATCAGCGACGATATTAAAGTTCCCCCGTATAATTTCACAGTCAGCGCAGGTAAATAACAACATAACCTGTACCACTAGTCGGCTGTCTTGGCGTTGTGTTGTGAATCGTCACAGCGCCAAGTTTGAACTCGTGACGTCATCGATCAGCTGGGAATTGAATCAGCTGATTCCCCATCCCTAGAGGATTAGGGAGGGGGAAAGAGAGGAGATCTGCAATTTCGGGTGATAGGACGTGTGCAGTCATTAGTGATTTTGCGAATTGTGATTTGGCGTTGTGCTAAGAGCGTTTCAGTGAAGATCCCTGGAGTGTACAGGTAATTTACCGTTTGTTTTTTAATAGTGTTTACTATTGTTCAGAGTTTTTACTTAGCGATTAACCCTCACTTTATTAGTTTGTCTATAAAATCCTTTATTGGGTGTTAGAACCTGTTGAAGACTGTGTTACCACCGTATGCTAGGGCTTGCACGGGATTTGTTAAAGATTTAATACGTATAAACATATAGTTTAGGATTGTGTTTACAATAAATATTGAGGGTGACGGGTAGCGAATATTTTGCCGAGATATTCAGTTGGTGTTGAACTGCTGCGGGCAAAGTTGAACCCGTCTCTGCAGGTCGTGCAAACACGAGGTCGGGTGGGCACGCCAGTATTCAGCTAAGAAATATTCAGTGTTGAGGTTGACGAAACTGCAACATTAATTTGTTTCAAAATTTCGTTGAACAGTTTTTTCATTATTTTAAAATTTTATTTAATTAGCTATTCCCAGGTGTGAACGATGACGATGGTACAGTAGCGTTGTTGGTTACTGGTACTGAGTTCACACCTCATTCTCACTACATTTTTGCGTCCATACAAATCTGTACCGGTGATAGGTTATTTAATTGATAATTTACAAACCCTGGAAACTTCCCAGCACGCCGACTTGAGCGATCCGCTGGCGAGAGTTGGTGACGTCTTTTCCGCTATAACAAGGAATGGCGTATATATTCCGAGCGGGAAAAACGGCACGTTACATTGGCGCCCGAACAAGTAGACATTTTTTTATTGATTTGGATTTAGTTTTACTTGAGTTGTTTTAATTTTAGTTAGCATATACCTAGTGTATTCTAACTCTAGTTTGAGCGGGTTTATATCAGTTGGAGGGAACTAGCGCTGGTTTTTAGGCTAGCTAACGGCCAAGTAAAACTAGTTAACGACCAATATTATTTAAAATCGAGGCTGTGAATTTATTTAGCCCACGTAGCTAAAAAAAAAGTTGTATACAGGGTGTCCGGTCATAAGTGTTAAATAAAATTTTGCATTAAACTACATGGTAATGGTGACAGAATGTCGCAAATTTGAGGTTCCCAACTTCAACAGTTAGAGAATAACAAATAAATTAAGATTTTTCAAAAAATATTGTAGTTGTTATGAAAAAGGTTATTTTACTCTGTTAAAAATGCACTTACTGTCAGTTTCAATGTCATTTTCAGAATCCTCACAAAATTTTAAATAAATATAACACATAATCGTTGGGGTACGTAAAAATATTCTATTTAAAATTCTTCGTTAAACAAATTATTTTTATATCGACAAAAATGTAAATAACATTCAGCCATTTATTTCTCGGTTGTTGAGTACCGGAGGGGTTATCAAATATGACTAAAAACTTCCTTATTTAAAGGGCTTTACAATGGTGTATAACAACATTTACCTACTGTCAAATCCATGGTGAATTTTACGCACTATTGTGAAAAATCACGGTCAAGCCAAAACAGATATTGTAACAAATAATAAAATTTTACTTACTATTTTATGAGCTGACCACTGATGATGAGGGTATGTATAATTTATGATTGACCAGACTACACTTCCATCAAACTAAAGAGTTTTTTTTTTAAGACTTTGGAAAATTTGTAATTAAAAAACACAACACATTAGTAAAAAACATAATACACACTACAATTTAAATATGAAATGATAGTTAACCCATTAAACAAATCAATGACACACTTTGTCCGAAGCACAAATCACAGTTTGGGTGTAAAGTGCCCACCGTTTTCCCGCAAGCAGGCCCTAGCTCTTTTGCGGATTGCGCCAACTGTGACCTCATACGTCAATTTTTCCCTTACTTTCCCAGCAGCAGCCTCAAAGATTCTCTCCCGTAACTCAACTTCAGAGTTTACAACAGTTGAGTAAACTAGACTTTTCATGTAACCCCAAACAAAAAAATCTAACGGGCTCAAGTCTGGAGATCGAGGAGGCCATGTCACACTTCCTCCACGTCCAATCCATGTCGGGTAGTTTTGGGATAGCCACAACCGAACGCTTTCAGTAAAATGTGGTGGAGCACCATCCTGCTGAAATATGATTTCAGCTCTTTGTTGAGGATCAATTTCATCCAACAACTGAGGTAGAGAGTGCTGAAGAAAATCTAGATATAAATCACCGTTCAGATTTCCTTCGAAGATATGAGGACCAATTAACCGATCTCCAATCACACCTGCCCACACGTTGATCCCAAACCTTTTTTGAAAAGAAGCTTCTCTGGAGGCTTTTGGATTTTCATTATTCCAAAGATGCATATTGTGAATATTTATCACACCTTCTCTGGTAAAACGGGATTCGTCAGTCCATAGTATTTTTTTAAGGAAGTGATATTCAACAATATCACGTTGAAGAAGCCAGCGGCAGAACTCCTTTCTGGATTCGAAGTCACGAGGCTCCAATCCTTGGACCTTTGTAAAATGATACGGATGGAAGTTATTGTCCTTCAACACTTTATGTACTTTCCACCGGGACATACTAGTTTCAAGGGCAAGCTGCCTAACACTAGTAGTAGGATTATCCATAACTCTCTGAATTACACCCTCTTCAGCTGCAACATCATGCACAGGTCCTACTTCTTTCTTCTTCTCAACCGATCCTGTTTCCAGCAAACGTTGATGCACTCTAGTAAACACCTGAGTACTGGGGGTGGTGCGATCAGGATACCGATTCTGGTACTCTCTCTGAGCAGCCGACGCATTACCGTTACACAAACCATAAATAAAATGCATTTCAACATACTCCCGAATCGAAAAAGACATAGTTGACCGATCACTGTCCACATGTGACTGATAGATCGTTTTAAAATATGACTACTGGTTCGCTTTGTTTTCTTATCGCTTGGATAAAGTATTGTTATCAGTAAAATACCTGAATCTATTGACTAAATCCATTCAACAAAATAGAAATTCCGGGAGATAATTTAAATCTTATATGAAAATTATACGATAACCGTAACTTTATCACAAACACATTTTACTACTATGGAATTGTAATCAGCGTGGCCACCGTTTTAGGCATTGCCCAAAACCTAAGAGGGTGCGTTACTATTTTTGCAAGACGGAGGGCGTTACCACGTACCGGTGCGGATGTCGTGCGGGAAACGGTGGCCGGACTCAAAGCCCCAGAGGTCAGCCGAGTCCGGGGCAGCATCACGACCTCCATGGCATCGGTGGCTCGAATATGTGAAGGGTTTCACGGGAGCCGTGGAAGGTGTTGACTGGAGTGATGTTAGACCCTTAGTGGAGGTTGAATTGTTTGGCGAAACCTTTCGAGCACTGGTTGACACAGGGGCTAGTGTTAATCTCATAGGGTCGCGAATTCAGAAACTCCTGGTCGACAGGGGTGTGAACCCCACCACCGTTAGTGTAGTAATGAGAATGGCTGATGGTTCGAGCCGTGAAGCGGGGTCCTTGTACCAGCTTTCAGGCCGGGTGGGCAAACAAGCCCATACCTGGGAGGCGTATTATGTCCGGAATTTGATGTGCGATCTGATTGGGTATGAGGTGTTTAGAGGAGCTTAACCTGATCTGCGTTGATCAAAGGGTGATTTTTTTTTTGATTAGGTGATATTCGTTGGAACGAATATAATCAATACAATGCAAGTAAAGAAACAAAATTCAATATATGAAAAAAATTTAAAATTAAAGAATATATAACACAAACGTCAAGAGAAAGATAAAATAAAAAAAACCATAATCAATTATATATATATGACAAAAATTTCATGACCAAAGATTATCCTACCATAAATTTTAAGAAAAAGAAAAATCATATGTCAAGATCATCACATGATGTTTATTTATTAGTCAATTTGTTGTGTTTAAAGTGAGGTTATATATGTTACTCTTGTAAATGGCCTAAAGGTCGAAACATGTAGAGTTTAAAAAAAAAATAATTTCAGGGTACTGAGTAAGTATGCTTTCTATAATATATATATATATAAAATTTTTGTGTTTTGAATGGATAAAAAACGGTTGTTTGCTTGTTTATAGATATATTATAATCAAATTTGGCAAATTTCTTTATTTCATACTTAGCTATTAGCATTTCATTTTCAATAAAATACATACTTTATCACCGTCCCTGTAGCATCAAACTTAAGTATTCATTAAATTGAATGTTATCTGAACAGGGAATAGATCTGACAATTTTAAGGAAATGTTGTTTTGGAAATCCGACCAGGAAAATGGAAATTTGCTTAGCCGGTGATTTAATACCAAGATGCTCTTAATACCAAAATTACTGTGGGATGGGCATTTTTATTAATTATTTATTTTCAGGCCAAGAAGTTCATCACTGCTTTGCAGAAAAGGGCTGAACTTCAGACAAAATCGGTTTTCTCTGTCACAGAAATGAAAGAAGTTGCTGCTCTCGCAAAAATTCAGATTGGAGACTTTTACACATTTGTCTCAAATCTTAACACTCAAGGATTCCTTATAAAGAAGGGCAAGCATATGTACCAACTATTATCTGTTGATTATTAATAAATTGTTATAAATGTTTTGTTTGAATTGTTATGTATCCTATTGAATCCATATAGTCCCCTCAAAATTGATTCGATTGGCACGAAAATAAGTCCTCTCACTAAATTAAGCAAAATGGATTTTGACACTTTGTGGTTTAGGGATTTTAATTGATAATAGGTATTGAATGTTCAGTTCAGGTTGAACTGATGACTATTACCCTACTTTTGATGTCTGAGGATTTATTAGCACAGTGTAAACCTCTTGTAAAAAGTTAGATATAAACTTTTGTTTTAAATTAACACACTTTTAAAAAATTTCTCATAACTCCGTCATATTGTTATAAAACACGGAAAGCCGTATTACTCGATCGCTTACAAGACGAAGGGGCATAAGTACATATGAAAATGCTATGTCCTTACTGAAGTGAAAGGTAAAACTCACACCACAGTTAAACATAGATACTTTTTTAGCCAAGATCCCCAAAAGCTAAAAACAACAATACAATGAAAACAAACATAGACAATAGACAATTAATCTTTATTTACACATTTATTAAGAATAGTAGTAGCGTCAGTTTACAATTTTTTCTAAATATGTGGTTGAGGTGTTGTTTAGTCAAAGATCTGTTGATAGTATTCTTTTAAAGAGTAAAAAGGTCGATTAATGAGCCATTGATGCAAAGCTGGTTTGAGGTCATCTTCTGTCTTGCATTGACATCAAATATATAACATATGATAACAATTATAAAAATACCAAACAGCACAACTTCTCTTTTTCTTTTTTTTAAATGTATTTATAAAAGTCTGAATCGCTGTATCTAAGAGTTGGGACACACACACACACACACACACACTTCTTTTAGATCTGTCATTTTCATTGCTAATGTAATTATGTCCAGTATCAGTTTCAGTTCCTTGGTCTTCGTGGTGTTGGTATTCAAATCTATTTTCATAATTTTCCAGAGGCCTCTACACAGGTATAATATGTCTCCTGTTCCTTCTGATCTTCCCTATCTGTGTATTTATCAGGTAGGACCGAGGATAATTTGATTTATTCTCAATATGTCTGTAACATTTTAAATCTGGAATCCAAACTTTGTCATTTTGATCAAGCTGAGAGAGGAGATCTCTTACACCTTTCCTTACATCGTAGTTTCTCTTATTTATTTCCTTGATTGACAAATCCTTCTCTTTAATCTTTTGCAAACTTTCCTTTGTTACCTGTCTGAAGTTATTTATTGACGGTAATGTTAGATCGGAGCTTCCGTGAATAAATTAACTCTGCAGGTGAAAGACCAGACTCTAAGGGTGTATTTCTAAGGGTGTAAATATATTTGGATCACTACATTTCGTTAGAATCCGATTCGCTATGTCAACTGCCTTTTCTGCTTCTCCGTTTGTGGATATCTTGGGCTTGATGTCAGTATACGGAAACCATATTCTTCAGCAAAATTTTTAAAATCCTGAGAAGTAAATTGCGGACCTCCATGAGCTCTTACCACATATGGCCCTCCATGTCGAGCAAATATATTTTTCAATCTAGCAACCACAGCTCCGGTAGTCAATGCATGCACATAAACCAGTTCAAGAAATCTAGAATAGTAGTCTTGTACGACTAAATACCATTACCCATTACATTTCAAAAGATCTATACCTAAAGACTCCTAGGGATTTTTCGGTAGTTCAGTCAACAGTAGAGGCTCTGATTTGTTACTTCTTTGCTCCAAGCAAACTGGACAATTTGTTACAAGTGTAGCAATATCTGTTGAACAGCCAGGCCACCACACAGATTCATACACCCGCCTTCGACATTTGACAATTCCCATGTGACCTTCATGTATTTTATTCAGTATTTTCTTTCTTAACAATTTTGGAATAAACAATCTTATGCCTAAAAAGAGGAATCCTTTACTGATGTTTAGATCAGTCCTGTACTTCCTATACACTGAATTTTTATTCCAATTGTTATTCACAATCCAGGATTTAATTCTTCCGCATTCCTCATCAGTATCCTGAGCTTCTTTGGTTTCCTTGAGTCTTTTGTCAGAACAAGGAATAGCATCTAAAATACTCTGAACAAACAAATCTTGTTCCAATATGTCTTCATGTTCTTCATTTGACTTAATGGGGTTCCTAGACAAAACATCTGGTACATAAAACTCCTTTCCTTTCACATATGTTACTCTATATCTAAAACAAGACATTCTCATTCTTAACCGCTGAAGTCTTGCCGATAAACTAGCGATTTGTTTACTTCCAAGCACCTGAACTAAAGGTTTATGGTCAGTCATAAGTTCAAACTCGGTTCCTAAAACGTACTGTGAGAACCTCTCACATGCCCAAGTTAGTTCCAGTGCCTCCTTTTCTATCTGCGCATAACGCATCTCTGTCGGTGATAAAGATCTCGATGCATAGATGATTGGTTTCCACTTTCCATCCACAAATTGTTCAATCACCTCTCCTAGGCCAAATGACGAGGCATCAGCTGCTACTCTAGTTTTACGATTTTTGTTGTAAGACACCAGAACTGGATTTGAAGAAATTAAGAGATTTAATTTTATCCCAAGCACTCTTTTGGAAGTCAGACCAAACCCACTTATAACCTTTCTTTAGTAAACTTCGCAATGGAGCTGTAATTTCAGCCAAGTTAGGGATAAACTTCATCAAATAATTAATCATGCCAAGAAATTTTCGAAGTTCCTTAACATTATTTGGGGTTTGAATTTTCATAATGGCCTCCACTTTCTCAGGATCAGGCTTTATCAATCCATTTTCAATCAAATGTCCTAGAAATTTAACTCTGTTCACATTAATGTTACATTTATCTTTATTAAGTGTAACATTGTGCTCTTTTAATCTTTGTAGTACATTTGCTAGTCGATGGTCATGTTCTTCCTGTGTTCTACCGACCAAAAGTATGTCTGATTTACTACCCCATCCAGTCCATCCAAAACTTGGTATATCCTCTTCTGGTAAACCTCTGGACCAGAATTAATACGGAATGGTAACCTCTTGAAAAAGAATCGCCCAAAAGGAGTTATAAAAGTCGTAAGCTTGTAACTTTCATGATGTAAAGGAACTTGAAGAAATCCATTTGTAGTGACTAGTAATGAAAATATTTGTCCGCCTTCTAATTTACTTAGACTTTCTTCTACAGTTGGGCGTTGCCACCTTTCTCTCTGAATACTTTTGTTGAGTTCGGTATAATCAACACATAGCCTCACTCTATCACCTGTCTTACGAAGTACAACAACAATTGGTGCACACCAGTCTTTTGGTTCTACCACTGGCTCAATTATTCCATCAGAATGCAGTCGATCCAATTCTTCTTTGACTCTGCTCTATAATGGAGCGAACACTCTACGAGGGGCTGCCACAGCAAAGGGACGAGCATTTTGTGTTAGTGAAATTCTGTAGTTCTCCCCTTTCATTTCACCAATAGAACAAAAAACATCAGAAAACTGAGAAAATATTTGGTTAGAGAAAATCAAATCTATGTTGAACTTAATTAGGTTTAATTTTAACATTGCATTTCTACTTAAAAGTGGAGTAGGTTGTTGTTCAATTACGTAAATATGTTCGACAATACATTTATTTAAAAACACTAAAGTAGTAATGATCTTAATAACCACTTTCAACTTAGTTTTCCCCGGACCAAATAATATTTTACTTGTTTCACTCGTTTCCAGTTTTAACTCCTTGCAAAGATCATCTATTATATTATTAAAGTGATACAATCAAATTTTATGTAAACGGTTAAGGCAATTTACCAAACAGAAATATAGGCATATGTCACATCAAAATGAAGCTTGGAGTGTGTAGATTTGCCGAAAAGTATTGATATGGACGATTTTGCTAAGGGCTCTGCCCCACAGGCTGATTTCCAAAGGGCTTCGCCTGGCATGCTACCAAAGTTTACATGATTTAATTTATTTTATCAATGAAACAGCTGGTCAGTACAATTAACTGGTGTTTGTTTATTTACTCGAAAAATATGTTTGTGGGGCTTTATGTAGATTTAGGAGGGTTATGTTTGGTTTTAAAGAAAGGTTGTATACGTTTTGTAAAGTATTGCTCAAAGTTTCATTTTGCAATTTATATAGTAAGCTACATGTTAAGAGGCTTGACTAAAGTTGAAGAATTATGGTAAAACATGTCATTCGTGAAGCATCAATATGAAGCAATTGATGCTGTTGCTACACTAAGGTATGTTGTCATATTCTTTTGGATCTATTAACAAAAAGTAGGGGTTTGAAACTAAGTAGGTTTACACTTTTAAATCAGTTTATATTTTCAAACTAAATAAAAGGGTTGCCAATCATATTTTAAAACACACACCAGGATTTCTTTAATAGCTCTCTAGGTCACATTTTCTTCCCGTTGCAAAGCACGGGTATAGCAGCTTGTTTTATCATATTATTCTACACTTACCAAATATTTATTTAGAAATATCTGCTCTTATCGTGTCTAATAAAATCCAAACATAGAAACCTTGCCTAAAATGGTACCCATCTTGACAAATCATTTGCATCTGCCTATATTACAGACTTTGGCGCACTGGATTTATAACATTAATGAAAATAACACGACATTTTGGCTGTAAAATATGGTATAAAGAGAAAATACTATTTAAGCAGCTCCTGTCATGACAGAAAGGTCATATTCCTTTTAAAATAGATCACATAATCCTTTATAAGATACGTTGATGAACAATATGTAAACTTCAATATATAGGCCTATGTAACAGCCAATTTACAGTATTTTTGCTTTTGAATATTTTGGAAATGCCCCATTGCTATGTCATTTGCATTATTTGTTGCCAATGAAGCCCTAAGACCATATGAACTAGGAGGCCCCTAACAGTTAAAGAATAAAAGCCAACTTCACTTCAAGTATTCCACTACACCTAACATTCCGTAGAGAGATTATATTGACAACTTTATGTTATTGATAAGGCTGAGACAACTAACTGACATCCCCCATGTAAAGGAATTCCAGCTTTAACAGTAACCCCATAACCAATTTCTCAAAACTGT